CTACTATATAATAATCAACATAACAAATTCAGTTAAAGTAGTACTGCCAACTTATGATCAATAGATCAAATAATAGACTAAGAACGTTGGCAATACTAGTTCATATCAGCTTCCCGTCATTCTATTTGTTAAGTGTATACTATTTGTGCAGATAATTACAAACATTGCACATTCAATTCAGTGAGTGAAAGACTATGTTAATCCTATTACTAATATATGGAATTTTAATTTCATTACTGAAAGGAGTTACATAGATACCAAAGATCAATATAAGCTAGAAAACAGGATAAAAAAACTCGAAGTTTATTGAGTTTCCTGGACGTACAGTGAATGTTTTCATGATGGATATAACTGCACTCAAAACTATCAGTCTCTTACTAGCTTGAATAGGTTTTCACTTTACCAACTGGTTTTTATAAATTATATCATTTTTTTGTAAAACAGTCATAGACATTACGAAAAGTTAGAGCCTGATAATGTTATTTCCTTAAACCGTTCCAATTCTATCCAATATATTACATTATGGTGACCAAACAAAAGAGTTAAGTATAGTGTCATTTATGTTTAATTTATAAATAATAACTAGAATTTCAACATCTTGACAGTCTTCTCAAGCTATCGTAGTTCACATTTTTAAAAAAAGCAGAAAATTACTCTAGCGACAAATGCTTCCGACATGAAAATGTCAATGTGAACAAAATTTGAGTAAAATGAAAAATAAAATATCTAATTTTGCCGGATAAATATCCTTTTTTTAGTTAAGGAAAACTTCGTGTTTTGTCTTATGTTTGTGTTTTTAAAAATATCATACTGATTAAGTTTATTTCAATTTTAACATATTTATGATCTTTTTAACATTTAAGATTTTAAACATTATCAAAAATAAATGGTATTTTCTCTGAACATATTCTGTAATATACTATTAATTTGAGTCCTGAAGTGAACATCAACTCTGAGATGCAGGTACATCCAGCTGACGAGTCCTAAATAGGACGAAACGAGCATTCTGGATTCCACTGCTAACCATCATCCAACTTTTCTTATAAAGCTTATGATTTAATATATTATTAAGTCAATCTGCACAGTATGCACATATACCAATAAGAGAGTGATCAATTGTAGTCTTAAATAACTGTGGGAAGATAAAAGTAAACAATATCAAGTGAATTTCACTATTAACTTATGCAGTAAATCCAATGATAATCATAATAATACAATTTCTTTTATCGTTCGTTTTGTGGTAAATGATTTGAAGTCTTCAAAAAGTAATATAAACATAAACATAATTAGATGTGTATAACAAATATACCGACAATGTTCCATAATTAAAAGAATAATTTCTCTGATCACATGCTATTTTTCTTTTTGTTTGTTTTCTTCAATTCTCTAGGTGAATGGATGTACATACATTTATTATTAGATATAGTTTAACATATAAAAAAATATGATGTATTGGATAGAAATCATGAAATTACATCATAAGTGTACATGATTTACTATAGATGTGGTTAAAAGAATGTACTATAAAATTCCATAATCTATAAATAGAAAATAATTTACGTTTAACCACTAGATCATTGAACCGGCATCCAATAGTGTTAATGTCTAAATTCAACTATTCCACGAAACTGAGTAATGTGTCCACTATTGTCTTTAGTGAGTTGTTATCCCACAATAGATCTGGCCGAACTCCACTGATCACTGCTTCTCAATAGAACTTTAGGAAATACCTCTTGAAGCCAGTCACCAGTAAGCATATGTTGATTAGTATCAGAAGGGGTTTCTGTAGATATTATAATAGATCGAAGCTATACCTGTATGGAAAACGTGGAAACACTGGATGATTGTTTCATCCTAGTGTGAGATTCCTCAGCAGTATGTATCTACGATTCATAAACTGTTGTCGTTTTCTTCTCACGCTATCATATACATTTTCTGATAACATTAAGAATAATTTATGTAATTTACCTAATATATAATAATATTGTTTTTTCTATTTTAAAAACAATTTGAGGATGATGTTTTCTAAAAAGAGAAAACCTTTCAGTTAGATTAATATTGAAAAGAACAATAATGATGAATTTGTTGGATTTTGTTATAGTTTCATTAGTGGTATACAATCTATGATATTCCAGAATTGAAAATAGAAAGTGAATTTGATAATGTAAACAGAAAAATGAAGTTTATATGAAAAGTTCAAACAGGAAAAGTAAAATGATATTATCAGTTATTATAAGTATAAATAGGACATCAGAAAGAGAGAATGCTTTGGTATAATAACAATAATAAACTTAATAAGGCTTGTGAATAGATGGTAATGTAGTAAATAAATGATGTTGATTATTTTGAATAAAACAAATAGAATTTGGTTAAAAATAAATTTATGAACATGATAAGAATTTCATTTAGTTAGTTATTTTAGTAAATTTTCATAAAGTAAGAACAACGAATTTTGCAAATGATGTGAATATTAGGACTCAGTAGCTAAGTGAACAACACAATGGTGTTTGAAGTGAACGGTACTGGGTTCAAGTCCCAGAATGAATATTAACTCTGGGATGCAGGTACATCTCAAATAGAATGAGACGTGCATTCTGGATTTCACTGCTAGCCACTATTCATCTTCGTTAAGAAGTGAATATCATTCATTTCATGTACACCAAATTCCCTACATTAGCATTGTGAGGAGTCCCACAATAGGACGAAACGGCCGTCCAGTGCTTCCAAATTTTCAATTGTGATGGTCTAACATCAATCGGTTCATGATCTCAATCAAAAAATAAAATACATTCGATTCGTTGTACAACGTGTATAAAATCATATAATTGATTAGTGAAAAATAATTATACACTTTCACTTTTTTTGTGTGTTCAATAAATAGATGAATGGATTTAGTGAGAGAATGAAAAAGAGATCATGCCACAAGTGAGTATAAGAAACATATGTAAATTTTTATAACTATACTGGACAAACAAATGAAGATGTTAGGAAATAATATAAAAAATAACAATGAGGTCGTCAAAATAATGGTGATAATAATATTAACATTGATAATAGTAGTTGAAGAGGGTATAAGGAATAAATAACTAGAACTCATTTCATCTCACAATACACATTGTTCTTGCTGTACATCACTAGAAATGAGTTGAAAGATAGTCATGAAGTAATCGGATAATGAAAACTTGTAATTCAACTAAATAGGACCTACTTGTGTAAATGAGAACAAGAAACTCTGTTAAATGAAATGAATTTATTTCATTTCTTTTGCTATAAATCTTTCACAGATATACTGATTTGTATAAATAAGTAATATGCTTTATAAATGTCATTTTGTATGTAAGCTGTATAGTAGCATTTATACTGCCAGGGCAAATGAAGATTAATAAATAATTGCTTTTGAATATATAAACCAGGTTTTAGACGCTTTTTAAAAATGAATTCAGCAAATTTCTGAATTATAGAACATGGTTACTTATTTACCACTTTGAAGGACATTATGTTGCCATTTTATGTTTTTTTTCTGATGTTGTATCATCAAGAAATATCTGGAATTAACAATAATAAATTTCATTCTTCTTTTTGACTGAAGCTATTTAGAAGGACATTATAAATCCAAAGTAGGTCCGAATATTTGTTCTGTCAACGTAACCACCCCGGTAATTATTTGTAAATTTATACATACGATTAATAACAGTATAAAAAAATATACATTGACGCTCCTAAGCTGAATTGGTGAATATGCTGTTTTAAAAAGAATTCATGTTTACAGTCATCCACATTCATTGATATGAGTGATAATTTTACCCTTCATGAACATCTCCGATTACATAAACCCGTAGTATTTGAGAGGTTCCTTTTTAAGAATATTCCTAAATTGAAAATAACACTTTGTATTTCACTATTATTTAACTGAATGTCTTCGAACAAGTGTTTCTTTTTGAAAAATGAATCTATCATTACCTCTTATTGAAAACAAATATGTAAATGGATTTTACATTTTAGTACAGGTTGACAATAATGTCGTATGCTGAGAAAGCTAATGATTTAAATCAATAATTCACTGTTATTTTCATAATGCGGCGAGGTGTATATTGTGATTTTCGTGAAGTATTCAGGGTGGATCATTACCGTTCTTAAAGAGATCTGTCTCATTGATCTTATAGATCAGCGTCGTATACAGCAGTCCAAAATTTTGATGCTGATAGATTAGATGGTATCAAGACTTCCAACAAGACTGAATCTAGTTAGGCAAAGAGTTTGGCTAAACTTAAAGTCCTTGTAACTTACACTGCACAGTGAATAAAAAATCGAAATCAGTAGTTATACAAGCAGCAGTACAACCATTGGATGGAGCATTAAACGATATTTAAAGAACGTAACATTAGATATTTCATAAATATTAATGTATGTCGTCATGAAATTACTTTATGAATGCTTTGTAATAAAGAGAGATTTTTCACATAAATATCGTGATTTGATTCTACCTGTTGTGATTTATTTTTTCAGTGTCATGTTCTTCTCTCTGTTTGGTCAGTTAATTTAGTGAATTAAGTATTATTGACTCCCAATACATCACTTGTTTGGTAAATCATTTTCTCAAAATCTAAAATAATAATAGTTGTAGACCAGTCGTCGTATTGTAAAATAATTAAAAAAGCAATAATCGCAAATGAATGAACTCTTCATCAAGAGATGCGATTTTTTGTTGATGAACTATGGATTTTATACACAGTTAACTGTTTCATAAAACCACAATTGTCTGATTGGATAATACATTTTGTGGAGAGATCCTTGAGAATTTTTATCATCGTCGATCCTAAATACCTGCAAACTATTGGTTTCACATTCTCAGTCCAAGCTATTCAGAATCTAAAACACGAACAACACGTAGAGTTGACACATTTGGCAAATAATGAATTCTTTTTTTTATATTTTAGTTTTTCGTATAGTATTCAAACAATGAAACTTAATATATTTGTGTATGCTTCTAAAAATTTCAGGTAAACCCATTCAATGTTGGGTGCCACAAGAGTTCACACATTCTTGGGAAGAATATGCAGAAAATCTCTGTTGGGTACAGAATACATATTTCCTTCATCCAAGTGATCAAGTCCCTGAAGATGATTATGAATTGACAAAAGTCAGATATATAGGCTACTATCAGTGGATAGCAATAGTATTAGCTGGACAAGCGATGTTATGTTGGGTACCTCAAATATTATGGCGAGTTGGATCAAAACGATTACCCGTTTTACTGCGATCAGCTAAAGAGGCATCAGTACCAGACAGAGAACTTAGACAAAAAGCTATTTCATGTTTAGTAGCTACATTAGAAGAGCAAGCTGAATCAACTGCAAGACATAGACGAGCAACAAGTACAATTAAACGGATATTATGTAGTTTTCGACCAAATACGCGTATAACTTTTCTGTTTTTTATAGTTCGTATTTGTTTTATCGGTAATTCAGTTGGCCAAATTTACCTCATGAAAAAATTTATTGGGACCAATAGTACAATGTTTGGCATGGATGTTTTAAATGATTTAATTACCGGCCAAGAATGGGAAACTTCAGGTAAATTTCCACGTGTGACATTTTGCACGGTTCGTGTCAGGAAAATGGGGCAAATAAAGCCTGCAAGGTGAGTATATTTTTCCAGTTAAATCATATGTATATGTACATATATATAATTTTTTGAATGATTATTATTTGAGATGCTTCCATGATTAAACTTTTAATGTATGTGCCGACTGTCTTGTAAAATCTAACAATTTACAATAACTATATTGTCTAAAAGATTATTTGATTTCATTAAACATATATAAAATTTCCGAAACCATATATTCAAAAAAAGTATAGTTTTAGTGTTATTTCTGCTTTTCTTTCAAATAACCTATACTTTCTTGTTGAAAATCAGACTGATGACCTAATCGGAAACGTGTCACTTTATAAGAGATATGTGGACGATATCTTAGTTGTTTGTGAGAGAAAAGAGGATATGTAATGTTAATTAAATAAACTTAACACTCTCCAAAACCATATTAGTCTCTTATGTGAAGAGGAGAAGAATGATCAGCTTCCATCATCAAAGAAAGAACAAGGTGCATGCTTCATTCAAAACCTAAAAGACATGAAAACGATTGTGTCACATCCCACTGTGTTTACCAATTTAAATGTGTGTGTGGTCACACATACATAGGGAGGAGCAGTCGTGATCTCAACATTAGGGAGAGTGAACATGTACCCATACGGCTGCAGAAACAAATACAATCAAGTGACCCAATAAGAGCAGAGGATAAACATCTATCATCCTTTATTGCTAAACATATAACTGAAACAGGTCACAAGATTGATCTAAACTCAGTTTTTGTGGTATTAGAACAACACATATAAGCGAACAATTGTTTTCAATTAGATCGTCATCAGGCTTTACTCTAATATACATGAATATTTATACGAAATTTTTGTGGTATTGTATAAAGGTGTAAAAGGGCGTATACTAAGGTATATTGAAGCCTTAGCCGTACGAAAATTCAAACCCCCTTTGTGTGTTTAAAAACAGTTTGTTCTTACCTTAAACCTACCCTGGTAATATTGACTTATTATCCAGAGTGATTAAGTTACGAATTGTGTTCAAATTATTATTATTATTATTACTCTTATCATTATCCTTATCTCCTCTTACCCCGTTTCCAGTCTATTTGACCTTTTATTCTTATATATCAACGCTCTTAACAAGTACATGTGTGATCAGTGTTCGAAATGTACTGCGCTAATATATCACATAGTTCTGATAATCTTTGTCTTCTAATTACATTATCGAAATCTATACTTTCTTCTCTATCGATATATCATTTAGTCATACTCCTCTAATCTTGTCTAATTTAACAGTGTTTATTCTTTTTTATTAGCGCTAAGATAATTCTAATTTTCGACAATATTGATAATGATCATGGAAAATGATAAACTAATTGTAGTTAATATGATATTGAATTAAATTTCATTTCAACTTATTTGTTTCAAAGTTGAATGATAGATTTCTAATATTCAAATATGGAGCCTTTCAATTCTCATTAATTTACGGTAAATATCTAAATTAAATAGGTAGATAATTTTGTTTACTTTAATTTAAAACATTGAAACTTATGATTAAGTGTATAAAACAAATACTATATTAACCATTTTATTACCGATTCTTATTTACAATATGAAGTGACAACAAAACTGTATGTCGTTTTTCAATTAGAAATTGATTAATCATTTTATGTTAGTTACAAAAGCGGATGACTTACTAACACTATGAATAAATATTATTTCAAATCTTGTAATTTATAAATGCACTTTTATTAAAGTTGCGATCGACCAAATCAAGCATAAGTAATGAAATATTTGAAGCTAAATTTCGTTTAATCATTCTTCTATAGTACTATTGAAATAGCATTCTATGTATGAAAAAGAATTTTTTTTCATTATTTTCATTCTCATAAATATCCTTCTTTATTAAATTATTGGTCTGTTCAAAGTCAATTTCGAATCATATTGTGTGTTATGATAAATTACTCGGTTTTCAGTTTTATGTCTGTTATGAGGATTTGAATGAATTGGAAGATTCTACAGCAATTTGGAAGAATCTCCCGGTCTCCCACATTGTACGAGCATTCCATGTACCTAAATTATTGGTTGCTCTAGTTGTCAGAAGTGGCTTTCACCATGAGGCGTTATAGCTCTTTGAAATGAAGACCTTCTAACTTCCAAGGCACAGTTTAAATGGTTTGAATTATTTTTTCTGGTTAGAGTTTTTTTTAGCAAGTTAGTTTTCTATGGCATGGTGTCGCCAACCGCGTGCCCAACCCTCCTCCTTTATTCGGGCTTCAGACAGTTAGTAACCCCAGTGGGGCTCCAGGCGGGATTTAAATGCTAAATAAAAACAAATACTGAACAATGGAATCTTTTGATTCTATTAAATTATCTCTTTAATATTTGAATCATGTAACAGTACAAATTTGGAAGAAATTTTTTTACATTCAATTGTTAATAAAGTACAAAGAACTTCATTTATACTAAATTCAACAACAAAAGTGCTTTTAATGCCTTACAATGATTAAGTATTTAATTAATTTTTCATGTTTTTATTATAATCGAGTAAAAAAAAATTGATGATCTTATGACCAGAAGTAGAATACATATCTTGCCCTAAAACAAATGCGTTGTCTATTTTACTCTTTTTTTCTTCTCTTCATTTTCATGTTTATAAATATGACTGTATTAGAACAAATTGATAAACGTATACATAAACCGTGTTTCTAACCTCTTTTTATAAACACACTAAGGATTATGATAAATTTATTAGAATAATGAAGGTACAACAACTTTTCTTTTTAAGGATTTTCACCTTATGAAATATAACAATCTGTATTAGTTTAGTCTTTAAATATTATTAAAATAATGTTATAATACGAGTAGTGACCAATATTACATTTATATATTTATTTAAATGATAAGTAGTATGAAACTTATATCCAAGGTTTAGTGTCAACTACCTGTAACAACTTAACATCAAAAACTTATGCATACAATGTCGAATTACTTTGACTACTATACAGATCACAACTTGACTGAGAGAATTTTATCAAATCTTAGGCGCAAAACAAACGTAACATTTGTCATTGGTTGCATTTTTTTCAAAGAATATTTATCTTTTACGAGATGCTTTTGCTAAGACCACCCCCAAATTTACCTCTCGACCCGAGCTTGAGACTGACAGTAACACATGAAGGGCTCCATGCAGTGTTAAAATTTCTCACTAGGTAGTAATTAGTCAATTGTAAGCATTTCGGCTAAACAAAGGGTCATTTGTGGTCAGAGTAGTTGAGTGGTAATGTCTCAGACTGTGGAAATAAGAGATTTAGGTCGGAACTAACTAGGAAGAGCCAACATGTACATGCCAAAGAGCATGAAACCTAGATCATACGTCTTCTGTTGACTAAACATCTTGAGACATCTTAACAATTTCCTATTATTTTCATTGGTTAAGATGACCATAAAAGCTAGTCAACCAAACAAACAATAAATGAATTGAAGTTAATCTAAAACCAGTTTCAAACATAAACAGAAATGTCATAAGTGTATTTATTCTATATAAACTTTGTGAAAATACAATAATTATAGAATAGAATGTAATACGATGTTCTGTCGTACTGAGTTGTTAAAGTTTTCGTGCTTTCAGTTGACATCTAGTTTTATTTACTTAGAGCATATTTATTTGCTATTAGTTTGTTAAAATTATTATGGTTAGGAAGCATATTTTTTCTCTTCTAAAAAACTATTAAACACTCATTTGTTTACCATAGGTAATTGTTTTTCAAGACTAATCTTATATTCGCGAATTTAGTGAAAATAATAAAGTTGAGCATAGAACAAAAATAATGAATAACTGGAATATACATTCATTATTACAGTTTGTCTAATATCGACAAAATCAGCGAGAACTAATTTATATATGAACATGTGTTGGTGTAAATTATTGTCTGGTTATCCTAATAAACAATATTATTTCATATGTAGTAGAAATGACCATTGAACATAGTGTGATTGATAAGACGTAACTGATGTTATGGAAAGAAAAGTCAATTTTCAATTGATTTGCTCATTATGAGTTTTGTTCAAGATTACTTCCATTCTGATTCAATGTACTGATTACTCGATGTAGTATTTGTTCTCTTTTCTCGTATGATATTTTATTCTATATAATATGCGATATTCTTGTATTCCATTGACATGAGGTATGCTCAGTATGTGGTTTGTTATAACTCCAAGTATTTTTCAAAACTGCGACTTCATCCTAATTGTTAATCAAAATGGGTGTACAATCAATATATAAATGAGTGTATTTTCTACTAGAGTCGTTGTTGTCGTGGTCGTGTTTCGGGGTTAATAAATCATCACTTATACCAGTCTTTGTGTTCTTACTTTTGCGTCGTGGGAATTGCAGTGGTCTCTCGTTCCGAGTATAAGTGATAAGCGTTTTCGACATAACAATCAGCCATGACCAGATACAAAAAGTAGCATTAAAAGAGCCAAGACAATAAGCATTCAAACGACAAATTATAACAATAACATCATTCGTTGTTACTGAACGATGGAGCCTGTCCTTAAATGATTAACATAAATGTATTCAAGGTTTAATGTCAAGTGAGTAATATTACTGGATTTGATAGATTTCTATATACAAAATAGTATGAATACCATTGTAACGGGAATAAAAAAGAAGCAACCACGTTCAAAACCCCTTTGCGTATATTATGCCTAGAAATAGCAAAAGAAGGACTTTTGAATAAATATACCATTTGTTGATTGATTGACAGATTATATGTATTGTACTGAAATGTTTGGATGACTATAAACTGGATGGATAATAAATACAATTAACTTTTTCAAAAGCTTTTTTGACAAAGATTTAATCACTGAATTCATGAGTCAATTGAAGCTAGACCGATATAGAAAACCTGGAAGCACTGGACGGCCGTTTCGTCCTAGTATTGTACTTAAAATCAAATCTAGTTAGTCAGTCGATTCAAAAAATTTTCGTCGAATATAAAGGCAAATTTTCTATTTACTGAATTACGTTAATTGTGTTTCAAA